TGGTCATTTCTTTCAACTGTCACTTTCCCTCCCTTCCTCAATTGTAATTTATTCCTCTCATCTGTTTCCTTTGGTTTATATGTTGTTCAGCCTGAGCATTCAGGGCCAGATGATTATTTGTTTTTCTGCTAGTCTTTCCGTTTTGTTTATTTCATGGTTCATGTTTTGGATCCTGGCGGCCAGTGGAAAGAGGTTTTTGTGTCTGTCTTGTTTCCTAATCGTCCACTATTCCTCCCCTGCTGAGTCCTCAGGGTTTTTGGCTCTTTACGCGGTTTTTATTCCAGTAAACCTGGCTCCAAGGAGGAGACCAGTTTAAAGGTCCTGCATCAAGTTCTGGTTCCACATCCTGTCTCTGCTGCACTGGGGACATTCTTGGACTTCACTGTTAAAACAGGTAAGTGACTAACTCAGATAATCTTCTGTCAGATGATCGTGGTCACTTACCTGTGTTTCTCCCACTAACAGAGTGTCTGTGATTGGAAGTTTTGAAGGTTTTGAGTTTTGAACTTGCCTACTGACTGTCTCTCCTTGAATACTAGGTCCATCTTTCCTCGTTTCATGACATAAAGGAGGAGAAACAATATGAAAACTTTTGAGCTCCATTGATATGAATGTTTGTCTGTATTAGTATAAAGTATTTGGTCATTTTCCACTTCATCAGCCAGACAGACTTAGCACACGACTTAGCATGCAGTCAGCCACGTTGAAGACATTAAGTCATCATTTGAGCTCCTTATCACATCATCAATATATATATACTGTATAAGCATCAATAAATTGATAATTTTGTCAGTTTATTATTGTCCCTCTCAAATTAATTCTAATTTAAAAATTTGTCAAGGTTTTAAGTATTTAATGTGTCTAATTAAAAAATGTGACACTTTCTGGAAGCAAATATGTTATTTGAAATGTGTGAAAGTTGAAAATAATTATAGTTGTGAAGAATATAATTGGCTGAATGGCTGGAGGTCTGTTCCAGACCCAATCAGCCAGTGGTTGCAATCTTTTTTTCCCTACCCCATAAACTGAAGCTCAGTATATCGCATAGAAGCCCTGGAAGATGCCAATGGCGGCGGCCTCATAACATAAGTTGAGTAATTGATGAAGAGGACTTTGGATAAAATCCATCCAACCATTCATATCTACAGCTGCATTTAAATTTGAATATATCAATGAAAATGAATATTATAAAAATTCTGAACTCACCGCTTTTTACCAATGGAATACTGGGCACATTCACTTTTCACCATGGTTTCTCAATGTACTAAATGATCAACTAAATTGTCTACTTATGTGAGCTGTAAAGCTGATTAGTTGCACCTGTCTAATTATTGGCATTAAGCAAGTGAGGCATTTGGTGAAACCCAGTAAACACAGCTTGACATGTTGTGCCTAACTTGAGTTTAAATTGGATGTAAAGTATGGCTATTTGAAGTGCATTTTAAATACCACTCTGATCCTTTATTAGTAAAACACCGCAATGTTTCACATTAAAGTTACACTGACAATGGAAAGTGCTATCAAGCTGCCATTGGTATGCAACTTTATTTGGACAGGTACTGCAAATAACCAAAATTATTCATAGGACTAGTAGTTTTAAATGTATATATTTTTTATTAAATTAACAAGTTTATGTCTAATTGTAAATGAGACATACACTATATTGCCAAAAGTATTTGCTCACCCATCCAAATTATTGGAATCAGGTGTTCCAATCACTTCCATGGCCACAGGTGTATAAATTCAAGCACCTAGGCATGCAGACTGTTTTTACAAACATTTGTGAAAGAATGGGTCGCTCTCAGGAGCTCAGTGAATTCCAGCGTGGAACTGTGATAGGATGCCACCTGTGCAACAAATCCAGTCGTGAAATTTCCTCGCTCCTAAATATTCCACGGTCAACTGTCAGCTGTATTATAAGAAAATGGAAGTGTTTGGGAACGACAGCAACTCAGCCACGAAGTGGTAGGCCACGTAAACTGACGGAGCGGGGTCAGCGGATGCTGACGCGCATAGTGCGAAGAGGTCGCCAACTTTCTGCAGAGTCAATCACTACAGACCTCCAAACTTCATGTGGCCTTCAGATTAGCTCAAGAACAGTGCGCAGAGAGCTTCATGGAATGGGTTTCCATGGTCGAGCAGCTGCATCCAAGCCATACATCACCAAGTGCAATGCAAAGCGTCGGATGCGGTGGTGTAAAGCACGCCGCCACTGGACTCTAGAGCAGTGGAGACGCGTTCTCTGGAGTGACGAATCGCGCTTCTCCATCTGGCAATCTGATGGACGGGTCTGGGTTTGGCGGTTGCCAGGAGAACGGTACTTGTCTGACTGCATTGTGCCAAGTGTAAAGTTTGGTGGAGGGGGGATTATGGTGTGAGGTTGTTTTTCAGGAGCTGGGCTTGGCCCCTTAGTTCCAGTGAAAGGAACTCTGAATGCTTCAGCATACCAAGACATTTTGGACAATTCCATGCTCCCAACTTTGTGGGAACAGTTTGGAGCTGGCCCCTTCCTCTTCCAACATGACTGTGCACCAGTGCACAAAGCAAGGTCCATAAAGACATGGATGACAGAGTCTGGTGTGGATGAACTTGACTGGCCTGCACATAGTCCTGACCTCAACCCGATAGAACACCTTTGGGATGAATTAGAGCGGAGACTGAGAGCCAGGCCTTCTCGTCCAACATCAGTGTGCGACCTCACAAATGCGCTTCTGGAAGAATGGTCAAAAATTCCCATAAACACACTCCTAAACCTTGTGGACAGCCTTCCCAGAAGAGTTGAAGCTGTTCTAGCTGCAAAGGGTGGACCGACGTCATATTGAACCCTATGGATTAGGAACGGGATGTCACTTAAGCTCATATGTGAGTCAAGGCAGGTGAGCAAATACTTTTGGCAATATAGTGTATATCCATCCATCCATTTTCTGTCACGTTTATCCTAAATGGGGTCATGAAGGGTGATGGTGCCTATCTCCAGCAGTCGAGAGGCGTGGCACACCCTGGAAAGGTTGCCAGTCTATTGCAGGGCAACACAGAGATGTACAACCATTCACACACACTCACACCTAACGAGAATTTAGAGAAACCAATGAACCAAACAGTCATTTTTTTGGACTGTGGGAGGAAGCTGGAGTACCCAGAGAGAACCGCCGCATGTTCAGGGAGAACAAGCAAACTCCATGCAAAAAATCTTCGAGCCGGGAATCGAACCTGCAACCTTCTTTCTGCAAGGCAGCAGTACTACTCAATGCAGCTTTTGGTATATTCCACTTTTTTGGTTATGAGTTCCCAGGCTATGAGTTTGGAAAGCCTCCTTGCCTTAATACTAATCTTTAGCTCCCTCCACCTCCTCTTGATCAGATTCCACTTTAGACTCTGGCTTGGCCTTTCAAAAATAGTAATACTAGGATTCCATCCATCCATTTTCTGACACACTTGATCCCAAGTGGGGTCGCAAGAGGTGCTGGTGCCCATCTCCAGCTATCTCCATCCAATCATTCCAGGCAGAGTACAACCTAGACAGGTCGTCAGTCCATCACATGGCAACACAGAGACAAACAACCATTCACACACACACTCACGCCTAAGGAGAACTTAGAGAAACCAATGAACCGAACAATCATGTTTTTGGACTGTGGGAGGAAGCCAGAGTACCCGGAGAGAACCCATGCATGCTCAGGGAGAACATGCAAACTCCATGCAAAGAGACCCAATGCCAGGAATCGAACCTCAAACCTTATCTGCTTCAAGGCGGTAGTGCTATCCACTGCGCAGCCCTGTAATACTAGGATTTAGAAGAAAAAATACAAACTTAAATACTAATTGAAAACTTTATCAGGCAGAGGAATTAATAATTTTAAGAAGGGGCAAGTTTCTTTTGAATTATGAAAAATTAATAAATACTGGCCTGTTATCTTCACACTAGCTCTACACATATGCAGGCACGTTACAGACATATAACAAACAGCCCAACAGAATCATTTAGTTAGATTACATAAATCATCCATCAGATAAATAAGTAATTTTTATTTAGCATTAGCTCTTAGCTCTTAGAGAGCGCAGACCTCCGCTCTGCCAGATCTCCCAATGTAGGAGAATCTCTAAAAACTGGTATCCATATTATGATCTGGATCATCACCAAATTTTAATGGATTGTTCCTTGGCTTTTGAAAGAGAAAACTGATTTAAAAAAAAAAAGGAGCAGTTTGATGCCTTTTGGAATTAGGAACATCCCAGAATCTATTAACAAATAGCTAATACCTGGGCTGGATTATAGAGAATAATTTTAATAGACCTTTTCCATTTGCCTTATTGCAGACAACAATGGAAAAGAGAAAAGTTGTATTACATTAATCAGAAACATCAGTTTGAAGGATTTTTAGGTTGAAACACTCTAGTGTCATAAGCAAAACAAACCAGTTTAAAGACAAAAGAGAAATACAGTTGTCTTAAACAAAGCTTTGAAGGGAAGCTTTCCGATACCAAAATTGCAACTGTTTAAAATAGTTCAAATTAAAGAAAAATGGAGAACTTTTGCATTGCTGCTCACATCCTCTGTAGCAAACTTACAAAAAGAGAGAATGTTTAAAAAAAAAAAAAGAATATTATATAAGCAACTACTTAAAGCCGAACTGTTTGATGTACTGGTTCCCAGTGGCTTCAAGGACTGATAAGAGCTGAAAGTGACATTCTCACTTAGTTTCACTCAAGGGAAGGATGGATTTTGCATCTTTGTGATGTTCTCAAGAAAAAAGGAGAGTTTCTGTACATTCTAAAACATATTTTTGCCAATTATCTCTGCCCTAGTTTATGGACACAACATTTTTTGTGTAATAAATCAAACATGAAGACAGTATTCCTCCCCATGTGTCAAAAAGCACTATTTCACACAGAGGCAGGGAAATAAAACTGTAAGTCTGCAGATTTTGTCATTAACATACCAAACAATTGGTGCATTTATTCTCCACCTCTTTTGGAGAAACAGAAGAATGAAATCTTACCTTCTCTTGGTGCAGCTGGATCCCATGCAGACCACATCTGAACAAAGAAAAAAGGAGTCCAGCATACGATGTAAGCAATAACCACCACAAATGTCATTTTCACCGTGCGGATCTTGGCTTTGGAAATGAGCCTGACGCTGCTGACGCGTGAGAGTGGATGTGCGCTCTTGGACGGCCTCGGCGTCAGAGCCAAAAAGTGCTCCCTCTTGGTTTTCATATTAATATTCTGCCATATTTTAAAACATATCAGACCGTAGCAGATGCCTAATATCGCTACTGGAATTATGTAGATGCTCAGACTCATCCATGTGATGTAGGCTTTTGCACCCCAGGGTTGCACGAAATCCCCCCAGCAGTCGTAGACGCCATTCCCGACCTCCCTGAGAGAAAAGATGTAAGCTTGTGGGGTGCTGAACACCAGACTGAGGATCCAGGATCCGATGACACAGAAGCGATCTTTCCCCTTGTGCACAGAGCGAAGCGGCTGGCAGACTGCTAAACATCTATCGATGGACATCAGGACCAGCATGTAGGTGGACGCAAACATGCCCACAACTTGGAGATATTTGACGAGCCTGCAGATAATATCTGGTCCGTAAAAGCGAAATGTTATGTCCCAAATGAGTTGCGGCAGGACCTGAAAAACGGCCACAACAAGATCTGCGATGCTCAGGTGCTTCATGAAGTAATACATCCGAGACTTGCTGTGCTTGGTGGTGTGGATAGCCCACAGGACGCACAGGTTACCCGTCAGAGCCAGCAAAAGCACCAGCACCAGGACAGTAACTTCCACTTTGGCCACTTCTTCGTTTCGCTTTAAAGGGTTTACCACGTTGTTCCCTGGATGAGTCTTGTTTAAATGGCTGTAGTTACAATAGGAAAAGTTCTGAAGCCAAGCATCTTGTGCGGATAAAAGTTCATCCATCGTGCGCACTGGCGCCAAATTTTGCGCAGTCAACGTTTACATCACACACACGGGAATGTGGCTGCTGTGAAGCGAAGTAGTTTCTAGATGATCAGTTTGCACCATGAATAGTTGTTTTTCTGTCGTCTGTTGTTCCAATGGAAAATTCTTTCAGAGGATGGGCTGTCCTGCAAGAAAACAAAAAGATGGAAAGCTGAGGATTTTTCCGAAATCATCTAGAGAAATGCATATATATTGAATTAAAAAGAATAAGTAAAAAAAAAACTTACGGGAAAATGATTTGCTGCGTTTTTGTCTGAGGGAGCTTCAGTCTGTCTCATTCTGCGACCAAGTGGATCTCTGATCTGTTCTGGTCTGTACATCCCTCAAGTCTGTGCAGCACCTCTCCTCTTTTTACCTTCACCGGAAGGAAACTGCATGGTCAGAAAAGACTACACAACACTCAGCTTTCTAGCACTTTGACATTTTATATGAAATGTAAGGTGCATTATAAATAAAATGTATTATTATTATTATTATTAGAAAACTCTCCATCTACTTCTAACCTGTCCATGTTACAACACACAAAATAGAAACGACTTAAAAAACAAAAACAAAAAAACAAAAAATAACTTAAGTGCTGATTTAATTAGGGTTTTGTTTGTGCAGATTTAGGTAATTGTTAATAGTGTGTTGTAGGCTGAATGGTGTAGCAGTGGGTTGCGCTGTAGCAGGCTGGTTGCAGGTTTGATTCCATTTTTTTTTTCCTGCGTGGAGTTTGCATGTTCTCCCTGTGCAAGTGTAGGTCCTCTCCGGGTCCTGCTTCCCCCCACAGTCCAAAAACATGACTGTTAGGTTAAGTGGCTTCTCTAAATTGTCCTTATACATGTGCATGGTTGTGTGTCTCTGTGATGCCCTGTGACCTTCTGGTGACCTGTCCAAGGTGTTCCTTTTTTTTTTTTTTTGCAATCAGAGTGAAAACATTTTATCTTAAAAAGATTTCTGTTGCCAGTAGGAACACGTGTCCATTACACATTTTTCACATAGAGAGAAAAATCTTGAATCGAGAACCTATTTTGAGAGAGACAGAAAAAAAAGTTCGTTTTGAAAGAGAAATGTATTTTTTGAGAGAAACTGTTTTCACTCTGATTGCAAAAAAGACAACAAAACAAAACAAACAAAAAAGCCCAACAATATTTGAGATTAAAAATATTTTCAGATAGTTTTTTTTTTTTTTTACCTTGAAATCAGTTTCCAAATTTCAACCTATATTTTTTTCTATGACTAAGTATTTTCTTTCAAAACGTTTTCTTTATTCTCACATAACAGCAGTTTTTGCTATCAGTATGAAAATGTGTTCTCTCCAATATATTTAACTTTCAAAATTTTCCCCTTTCAGATCACTTTTTTTTCTTGAATTTAATAAAAATACAAAAATAACTCCATGTCTACCTACGGAAGAGGATTTGGGCCACTGGGAAAAAAAAAAAAAAGTAAACTGATTTTTAAATTTTATTTCAGTTTAACATGGGAAAAAAAGTCAGAATTCTGACTTTAATCTCAGAATTCTGACTTTTTTTCCCATGTTAAACTGAAATAAAATTTAAAAATCAGTTTACTTTTTTTTTCTCTCAGAATTCTGAGATTAAAGTCAGAATTCTGACTTTTTTCTCAGAATTCTGAGATTAAAGTCAGAATTCTGACTTTTTTCTCAGAATTCTGACTTTAATCTCAGAATTCTGTTTTTTTTTTCTCAGAATTCTGAGATTAAAGTCAGAATTCTGAGATTAAAGTCAGAATTCTGACTTTTTTCCCATACTATACTGAAATAAAATTAAAAAAATCAGTTAACTTTTTTTTTTTTTTTCCAGTGGCCCTAATCCTCTTCCGTATCTACCAGCTTGCTTTGCTCTGCTAATTATTAGGCTAATTTAGAAAAATTCTAATTTAGATATCTACCAGTCTTGACATTATTCTGAGTAAGGTTCAAAAAAGTAATGCAACCACTTTTGGCATTTAATCATATTTAGTTACTTTATTACAATTGTTTCAAGTCCTACCCTACTAGCATAAAACAATTGTGTTAAAGTAACTAAATACGATTAAGTAAATGCCAAAAACGGCTGCGTTATTTTTTTCAGTGCTGTTCACACTGTCATGTGAGATGTTTAAAGGGTTTTTTGGATAAATATTCAAGTGTTTTTTCCAAATCAGTTTGGATTTTTTGTTTTTCCCTTGTGACTTAAATGTGTCATGATGGGTATCAAGTTACTAGCCCACATGCAGAACACACTCTGAGACAGGGGAAAAAGTTCAAAGGTTTATTGTGAAACACACAGGTTTGAACACTGAACAGGTTCTGGGGAAAATCTGGTCCAGGACTGGTCACGACAGATTTTCACTGCAGAGGGGGACAGAATGGTTAACAGAAGTCCTGGTAATCTTGCTGGTTGAGTGAGCGCAGGTTTGTACCTGTTCTGAGGTTTGAGCAGAGGGAGAAACCTGGAGGGTCCAGAGGCTGGCGGCAGGCTGAGGGCTGACAGGTTTTGATTCTCCAGGGTTCTTCCTTGATAAAACAGACTGGTTTCAGACAGAGAAACCCTTCCTGGGTTTCTGATCTCCAGGACTCTTCAGTAGTCAGACAGACAGGTCTCTGACAGAGAAACTCTTCCAGAGTTTCTGATTTCAGACAGGTTCTTCCTAGAAGCAGAGAGGACAAGAACAGGTTAGGTTCGGGTAATCAGGGAGTCTTGATTCAGGCAGGCAGGTAGGCTCAGACTTGCTAACCATAACTGGCAAAACACTCTGGCACCGGAGTGTTGTCCACAGCCCACTTAAAGGTACACTATGCAACCGGTGTTGATTTTCCAGCGAGGCTCCCCCCAAAGGGCGAAAGTAAAAGTGCACTGTCGTAAATATGCACAGCTGTTCTCCTGGTTTCTCCGTCAAGCCAGGCGCGGTTGTTTTGAGCTTAGCAGACAGGCGAACGCAACGAATGCACACACTGGACGCAGCTGGCGCGACAGAAGCAGCGAGTTTACATGCAAAGTCAATGGTTGACGCGCGTCAAGGCGCAGCAAAAGGTCCCGCGGCGCGTTTTGAGCAGCAGGCGCAGCGCGTCTGAGCAGCTGAAGCAGCGCGTCAAGGCGCAGCAAAAGGTCCCGCAGCGCGTCTGAGCAGCTGAAGCAGCGCGTCGGGCGCGTTTAATGCTACGTTCGCTTTTATTATCCTGCTGCCTTCAGTTTGGATTATTTAGATGAAAAACACCTACCAGCTGCCGCGGTGAACGGCGAGGAGGCGACCCGGCCAGAGGCTGCTGATGAAGGGATTCCTACTGTCGGCGCACCACTGGTATGTGGGGGTCTGAGCGGCTCCGACAGAAAAAATATTGGAAGGCAGGATTATAATCTGAATGAACTGACTGCACTGATTACGTTTTCAGGTGTATTTTCTCACTTAAAAACATAGTAAAACTACTTTATTCCCACTGATCACAGCAAATATAGCTGCAAGGCAGAGAAAGGATAGTGAAGCTCCGCCCAACGCGCGTCAGACACACTTTTGCACCGCGCAGCCAGAGCAGCAAAGCTGCTTCAGCCGCGCGTCAGAACTAACTGATACAAGCAGCAAAAATGAAGCAGCAGACGGGATTTTGCTGCTTTTGCTGCGTCCGGTGTGAAAGCAGCGCTGCACAAAGATCGCCACTGTGCTAGCAACGAGCATGCTTTTAACTGGGGACGTGTAGCAGTTCTCGCCGTAAAGCAAGACCGACTCTCGTGAGACTTCTGAGCCTGTGGGTGCGGGTCGGTGCTCCTGCAATTGCGGTATTTCCCCCACAGACCACCAGGGCGGCCGAGAATACCTTTGTTCAACCTGAAATGACTCATTTAATCATCCAAAACGTTATGGAACACATTAATTAACTGAAAAATGTTGCATAGTGTGCCTTTAAGTACTGGTCCCCTGATGAGCAGATGAGAAGCAGCTGGTGAAGTCAGCTCCAGCTTCAGGAGATCCAGTACGCCCTCTGGTGGAGGAAGGTAGACAGCACCCCAGATCCCAACAGCAGCACAAACCATAAGGAAGGGATCCTCGGCGCCCTCTGGTGGGCAAGCCTCTGGATCCCAACAAAATTTATATTTATCATTACTGCTATTTCATTGTTAAAGCTGAAGTCTGTAAGTTTTTAAAAATCACTTTTTTGTCATATTGGCTAAAACTGTCCCTATGCCCAGACAGCAGTACATGTGATATGTAACCTGTGAAAAAAACTGCTTCAATTGGTCCCGCCTACTGCCTGTATTACAATCTGGAAAGAATATTTCGGGACGAGACAAAACAACCAATCACAGCCAGAGGAGCGTCTGATGGAGTGTCAATCACAGCTCACACACGCTGAATCCCGCCCCCTCCCTCTCACCGCTGAAACTGCCGCTGCAGGGAGTGGAGAGAGGGTGGAGCTTGGAGGTGGGGCATGAGTGAAGCAGAGAGGGTGGGGGAGTGGTGTGAAACTTGTTTTTCTTCAAATTTTCAGTCGAAGTCTGCTCTCTTCTCAATGTTACAGACTGCAGCTTTAAATAGTTTAAGCCCCTCACCTCAGGCTCTCTTATTTCTGATTTCTTCTCATAAATCAGTTTTGTCCATATATTACCTCCACAAACAATTGATATACAAAAACAAATAATTTTTACAACTTAATTCCTTTACACAGATTCTTTGACTTATTCAATTACACCAAACTGGGTTTGAACCCAGCAAAGATGCCGCCAGACTGAAGATGACAAGTCCCCGTAGCATAAACACGTACACACACCCACACACACACACACACACACACACACACATACACACACACCCCGCTAACCCCACTGAAATATTAAGTGTGCACCCTCAATACGCCAGCAGGTAGCCAGGAACAGCTTGTGTGTTTTAAGTTAATGGACCGCTACTGGGCTCAGCGCGAGTGTATTGGTCCTCTCAAGCACAGTATAACAGGAATATGTGTGTGGCACGCAAAGTTAAAGAGGTTATTTTAAGTGACGAGGTGGATTTGTCACAGTCACAATAACCATGACAGGAAATTTTCATATCCTACAACAGGGATGTTCTTCTGGCAAACGGGTAGTTAAATAAGGATCTCACCGAATTTGGTGGAAGCTGCATCTCGTTCGTTACATTCGCCATCGTCCCTCTAATTGTCTGCACCTGCGCTTGGGTGCAGAAGCCTGTTAAATGGCTGTATTTTCAGAGCCCCAAGACCATAAAGTTCTGAGACGCTGATTGGCCATTAAATTATTAAAGGAGAATTCCGGTTTTTAACACTTTTAGCCCATTTTCTGTAGTGTCCAGGATGAAATCGAATGATCGACACCAAAATTTTGACAATTGGTCCTGTCTCTGCTTTT